CTGCTTGTATCAGTGATTTTGCACGATTAATGTAGGACCAAAATGGTATCCACGAATTGGTGAAATACAGTGGTCACAAGTATTACCACCCATTACCCTATTACTTGACCACTTAGATAAGTTATAACACACAGTAAGTTCATTAACATTTAATGCTACTTTGTTCATTTCAAGATTAATACTTTTAAAATCTTTATTTCGTAAAACACTGCAGTCATGAAAATCAAGAAGGGAACGCACCTCAACATCTACGCCCGGACATTTCTGTCCACCGTGAGAAGAGGAGCACTTCGCATCGTCGCTTTCCGAATCTAAATACAATCTTTCCAAAACAAGAAAATATTCTCCGTGTTTTCAAGATTATTTAAAAAGGATTTTTTTGCACTGCCGCTTTCCATTCATCATAACATAACTTTAGTTTCTGATCAGAAATTACCTGAGGATTCATCGTCGTCACTGTCACTTTCATCCGAAAAACCGTTCTGCTGCTGCGCTCGATTTGCATTGCCGGATGGATTCACTTCCGGTGAACTGATCGGGGAAGTTGTCGAATGGGCCGAAATTGGCTTTGGCACTTGCTGCACAACACCGTTTGCACCAGGGCCCTTCTGCGCGCCGTTCTCCATCTGTGGTGTCCTGTTCTGGGCATATTTGGCCACCTCTGCGACTGCCGAGATCACCTCCATGCGCATATCCGACGTCGTTGCACCCTGATTCTCCATTTTTATTTCGATGCCCTGATAAATTGGGAAAAAATAGCCACTTACGGCCCTCTGCACATCGCCATTACAAACGACCTTTTGCACCGCTCTAATCATATCATCTACAGGCAAGGAGAGCTGCAAGGAGGGAAATTTACCTCTTTTGATGCCTCGCCATTCGGAAATGCAGCATGTGGATTGCTGTAACACGCCGCTGCGTTTGCCTGCAATTTAGTGATAAGGCCAATTTCAATCAAGTTACGCACAAAGGGACTGCAGAAAATATGTTTCAAACAACTCAATTAATTTAAGATATTGAATTATGCATGCTTTTAGGCACTCATTTACCGGAAGATTTAAAACTGAATAGCAGGAACACAAAAAATATAAAAGTTTTACATTTTTGCCGGCCCATTCCTGCTACCGATATTTTAGTGATTGATAGCAATACAGAGGAAACTCACTAAGAGTTACCAGAGTAAACTATCGGCGGTGCATACTAGGCGAGCCGATGCGATTATGCGTTCCTACACTATTTTGTGCTGTAGCAAGGTTGCTTGGAATCCCTGTAGCTATTCAAATACTAGCCCTCGAAGTTCAGGATGTTAACTGTGCAGCAATGTGATGCGTCAGTTATTGTGTCGGCTACAGTGACCCGACAAACAGGAAGTTGCTGGTGCGCGAAAGAGGTCCCGCCCAACAGAGCTAAATTTGAAATTTTTTAGTCGCACACGAGCAGGGGGCATTCCCTTCAAATCTCAACTTCCCAGCTTTTCTCTTTTCTGAGTTCACAGTCTTCTTGCTAAGATTTTTACGTGTCCATTCCAAGGAGCTGAATTTGAAATTTTTTAGTTGTAAATGACTGGAGAACACTCCTTTAAAATTCTAGCCCTCCACCTTTTCTCGTTCCCGAATTAACAGTTTTTCCGCCAATATTTTCACGTGTTCGTGAGTCCTGTACACTTCTAAGAAGCTGAACCGTAATCTTTTGGGCGTGCATGAGCAGGGGACATTCTTCTAAATTTTCAGCTTTCTACCTCTTCTCGTTCCCCAGCTAATAATTTTTCCGCAAGAATTTTCACATGTCCGTACGTGAGACCTAGACAGCTCTAAGGAGCTGGATTTGAAATCTTTTGGTCATACATAAGTGCGTGGTAGTGATATCACGTTCCTGGAATGGCACATAGGCAAGGAGCATACTGAAATATTCCAGCATCAAAGCTTGCGTGGTTGCTGGATAGAAATACTCGGGGACACACACACACACACACACACACGCACACACACACACGCACACACACGCACACACACGCACACACACGCACACGCACGCACACACACACACACACACACACACACAGGGTCGTCGCAATGCGCGTTTTTGCTGCTTGTTGTAGCGCTCAAGCGCTGCAAGGAAAAAACGTGTAAAGGAAAAAAGAGGTACAACAAACTAGCATAAATTAATCTCATTGAAAGACTTAATTCAGGATGTTTTTAAAAACGGTATTAGGCCCTAAACTGACTATCAAAAATCAGAAACATAAACAAAATGGACGCTGACATCATGGACTCCACTGAAATCGCCCTGCATACGCAATATATCGTTCAAAAATTGCTGCGGATAGGGTGCTGCTGGAAATCCGGTGTAGTATTGCTCGTCCATATGCTAGAAATAATTTAAACTATACCAAGAATACCACTACTGTAATCTTCGGGCAAGCGACAATGCCTGGCTTTGGCGAAGGTGACGCAAAACGACAGTGCAAAGTTCTTCGCGACAACATCCAGGGAATCAGCAAGTCAGCAATTCAAATTATGCACAACAATAACTGGGCAATTATATTTCCAATGAATTTGATACATATATGCGCAGACCTTTCGTTTTTGGGTCGAAACAGTTTGTCGTGCCAGTGGATCCATCAGGTGTTTCGAAGGTGGTGCCTAAAAAACCAATTTACTGCTGCATTCAAACGGCACCAAGGTCCTATAAAAACACCAAAAACACGCTTTCAAATTCAAGTGCCCAATTCTGCGAAAAAAATAAAATGTATGCGTATAGATAAATGTATAAATACACAAATATAAGTATATAAATTGAATCAATTGGCCGCATGTACAAGGAGGGGAAAGCTAACTATGCTTTTTATGCGTTTTGTGCTGTGTAACAGCAGTACAAAATTATGATGTGCTGTGTAAGGCCAGCAGTACAAAACGCATATTGTTACGGGGTCGTCTGTGTGTGTGTTTGTGCGTGTGTTGTGTGTTTGTTGTATGCGTTTGTGTCCGCAGCAACTTGTCCGCAACTTTCAACTCGGGAACCACAAAAGCTAGGAAGCTGGAAATTTAGGGTAACGTTTCCCGCAGCAACTTGTCCGCAACTTTCAACTCGGGAACCACAAAAGCTATGAAGCTGAAAATTTAACGCAGCAACTTGTCCGCAACTTTCAACTCGGGAACCACAAAAGCTAGGAAGCTGAAAATTTAAGGGGAGCAACTTGTCCGCAACTTTCAACTCGGGAACCACAAAAGCTAGGAAGCTGAAAATTTAGGAGAACATTCCCCACCCATGTGTGACTCAGCAAATTTAAATTCAGCTTCCCCGTACACACGGGTAACGCGTACAGCCCCTGTGAAAGTTTTTTACGGGTAAGTTAATATCTCGGGAACCACGGAGTCTAGGAGGCTGAAATTTTTCTAAAGTTTTTTACGGGTAAGTTAATATCTCGGGAACCACGGAGTCTAGGAGGCTGAAATTTTAAGGTAATGACCCCCTGCCTACCCTCAACCTTGCCTATTCGAATTCAGCCTTCCCTTACCCGCGGGTAATACGTACGGCTCCGTGAAAGTTTTTCTCGGGAAAGTCACGGGTAAGTTAATATCTCGGGAACCTCGGAGTTTAGGAGGCTGAAGTTTTGCAGCAATGACGCCCTGTTCACCCTCAACCTTGCCCATTCAAATTCAACCTTCCCTTACCCACGGGTAGCACGTACAGCCTCGTGAAAGTTATTCGCGGGTAAGTCACGGGTAAGTTAATATCTCGGGAACCACGGAGTCTAGGAGGCTGAAATTTTGGGGGAATGACCCCCTGCCCACGCTCAACTTTGCCCATTCAAATTCAGCGTTCTCGCGCTCTCGGTTT